CCTAGCGCCAACAGCAAGAGCCTAGATTTATAGCCTAGCTGTGATCGAAAAAAATATCCACAGAAAAACTCCATGAGCATTGGAACCATCTATTTTCATTAGATGGAGCCAAGCCCCTACATAAATCCACTCGTGCACAAATAGTAAAAAAAATCCCGAATAACAACAAACTCATGTTTAGGAGCCTCACCATGGGTCCTAGCATTACGCTCATGCCAAATTACAGTGGATGAATCCACTAATTCAAATGTTACTGAATCAAAGGCACGCCAATATGGCCCAGAGGCCAAGACAAGTCCTTGGTACTATTAACAGCCAGAGATGCTGTGGTGTTGTAATTGATCTGCGAAACTACCAAGGCGATAGACTTTTATTATGAAGCTCTCAGCTTTGAATAAAATAAATTTATTTTCATTTCTCTGCTTCCTAGATGTTTTAGCTTTCAAGAATTGATCTTGCTCCATTTCACTTACAACACAAGCATCTGATAGAAATGACCAATTTCTCTTTTGTATACAATTGTCTTGCGTATGTAATGTGTAAATCAAGAAATAACAAGGGAAGAAACTATTGAAAGAGGAAAAAAGGAAAATTAAGGAATGAAACCACATAACTCAGCAAAATTATTGCTTTATTTTCTCGTGGATTTTGGCTCACTGGATTTCTCCACTCCAGTATTGTTGAGACTACCATTCCCTTGCAGCTCAACATCCTTGGCTTCTTCCTGCCCATTAGTTTTTCTGCACTTTGTTTCTTCAACTGCTACTTCCTCAACAGAATGTTTTCCATCTTCATCATGAGTCAATCTTTTCCTTTTCTTGGAAGCCATCTTATATTCATTAGCACCATCGTCCACAGTCTCTACTGATTTCTTCTTAGATTTGTTAGTTATTACATTTTTTCTGTGCCACTAACAACTTTATCAGCATCCACTTTACTTTTATTTTTCAAGCTACCCTCCTCACCATCTTCAAGAAGACCATCTTTCTTCAGCTTTTTTTCCTTCATTTTCTCTTTAGATTCAACAAGTGCCGCATAATCATCTTTACTTTCATTTAAATCTTTTCATTTCTCTTCAGTTACCTTGGGCATTACTTCTGGTCGTTTTTCATTACCATCAAGTACTTCAAAAGTTATCTTGCTTTTTTTTTTCTTCTCCTTCTATTTCTTAGTGGGTTCATCCTTGTTATTTCACGAACTGCATCATCAGTAGCTTTCTTCAAGGCTAATAATTTATGTTCACTTTGAACAAGAGTATTGGCTATAATTTTGTTTTTATCCTTCTTTGAATTTTGTTTTTATCATTCTTTGAATTTTTTGGCTTCCAACTTTTCAGTAATTCAAATGGTGTTTTTGGGACAACCTTAGTTGGAAACTCGATTTAATATATACACAGCTCTCTTAAGTGCTTCAGTCCATAAGGATCTATGAAGATAGAGCTACTAAACATGCTCTGCAGCATGTCCAACAATGTTCTATTTCTTCTTTCTGCTACACTATTAATTCTGGTTTGGTAAACCAGGCATAGTATATTGGGCAACTATCACTTGCTCTTGAAGAAACTTAGCGAACGTACCAGGCGCATGTCCATCATTTGTACATCTACCCAATATTCATCACCTCTATCTGATCTTATAATCTTAATCTGCTTCTCATTTTGTTTCTTTACTTCGGCTTTAAAACCTTAAAGGCATCCAATGCTTCGTTCTTATTATGAAGCAAGTAGAGATACATATAATATCTCGAGAAATCATCAATAAAGGTGACGAAATATTTTCCACCATCTGAGTCTATGTCTGTACTCCTGTTGGCACATTTCTTGGACTTAATGGTCCGCTTTTCCTCAATGCAGTCTGCACACATATCAAAATCAGTGAAAAGTACTAAGTACCCTGATGTGATTTGGGATACGCTGCAAACGATCGAAGAATTGGTGAATGATGGAGAACGGCTAAAGACAAGATTCAAGCTTCGTTCGGGCCAACAAAATTGTATAAATGCATGGTCGAATTATGGATTTCTATATGGTGGAGTCAACGAGCCAAAGTCCAAGACTTTTATTGAGGATGGAGGCTGAAAACCAATTGAATCAACTTGTGGGAAGAAACAAAATCCGAGCCAAAACTGGAAACCATACTATCGCACAGTGGAAGAGAGCTGCGATCGCACAGCTACTGGCAGAACTCTGACCGGCAGAAATCAACATAACCATACGACTACAGCTTCATTAACCATGCGGTCGCACTGTAGTAATCTGGGCAGAAATTTTCCTTTGTGAGCGAGGAGATTTGTTTTGATTCAATTTCTTATTTTTGGTAACTTTAATATTATTAGGACTCTAATTTCGTGTTTTACAATATTTTAGGAGTTTATTCCTTTTTAAATTAGGTTTTAATTAATTTCCTAGTTTAGTATAAATAGGTTCTTTTCTTCTTCATTGTAACAAGTTTGATTATGAATTATTGAATGGAGAATTTTCTCTTTCGAGGCTAGATGCTTCAAACCTTTGAACTTATCAAGATTTAAACATCTTGTGGTGTTCAAAAATTATCGTGTTGAATCATTGAATTGTGTAATCAAGGGGTCTTTCGCGTCATTGTTACCGTTAGGTTTTTGGGTTCATCTTTTATTGGTTCAAGTCCACAATCCGAGTATAATTTCGAGGCTTTGTGATCAAGAGGTTGTGGGTTTCATATACCTCCGATTGCTTGGTTCAACGTTTAGGGATTAGATCCTAAACATTGGTCGTATTTGGGTGTTCTTGGGATCCGATTCAATATCCTAAGGGTTCGATTGCAACCTTGCTGATCGGGTTCGCATCATACCCCATCATTCACTAATCTTTTAATTCTATTATTAATCTCCCTTCTTCTTAAACACACGTGATCATTAATTCATCAATTGACCATTTATCCTTATGTGTGTTGTACGAGATTTTAAAGGTCCGTACACTTTGGGAAACTATTCAAGATGTAGTGGACAAGAAAATGATTCACACATCTCAACATGAGCTTCTTAAGTTGAGCCGTAATGTCTCTCATCTGCATGATGTGCTCACGCACACCTTTCACATTGGTGAGTCTTAAGGATGAGAATTTATTATAAGGGTGCTTCCTAATGCCATATCTGAAGTGACAAATTGATCATTAATGGTCTTTATCAAGTCATGGACCTTGTTATGCTCATCGACAGAATCACTTATACCAATAGAAATTTTAGTTTTGATGAACATCGTTGTGAAGCTTTAGATTCGCTCCCATTTTTCATAAAGCGTAATGTCTGCTGTAATGCAGGCATCGTTAATTTTAGGTGGTTCATCTTTCCTAATAGAATAATCAATATCCATCCACCCTAAATGGATAAGAATCATATCCTTCCATACTCTATAGCTCTCACCTTTCAATTGGGGAATATCACTACGAATATCAAAGAAATTAGCTGGTAGTGAAGCTGCGTGATACTTATTTTAAAATTGAGGTTTAATAGATTGCATGTTTTTACCAATGTAAATCATGCTAAAATTGAATATAGTAACATAAAAATTGCCTGTGGGCTAAATTTTTAATTCAATCATATTCAATTATACCTCATGATAGAATTATCAAATCACATTTTACCAATGTAAAATCATGCTTCAAAATATGAATCCAGTGACATAGAACTTGCATGTGGGCTAAAGTCATACTCAATTAGATCCATATATAAACTTTATGATAAAACTATCAAATCACATTCCAATTCCTAATTCCTCTGGGCAATTAGGAAAGTAATTTAAATTTTTATCCTAGTTGATCATACAAATATAACAAAAATTCATGTGGGATAAAATTTATTATATTAAATATGATCAACCACAATTATTGTCTTTAATCCTTATGTGATCCCCATCATAATATATAATTTTATTTAATTAAAGATGTTGTGGCTAATCTTTAAATAAACAAAATTATAAGGATCACTAGACATTCTCATTTTATGCATAAACGATCAACTTTATATGAGAATAAGTCTAACTATATAAAATATTCTCATAATCGTTATAAATTGCATAAATAATTTAAACATAATCAACTCATGTAAATTGAATATGAGCATAATACACAATATAATGCATCCTAAAATTGCATATATTATTCTAAACATGAATAATTAACATATGCAAAATTGAAATAAATACTTGAGAATTAAATTGCACAATTGGCACAACAAACCAATCCATGTACTCAAGAATTAATTCTCTAAAAGCTGCCCAATAAAAGTGTAGGTTATGGCCCAACCTTGAAGAGCATAAAATAAACGGGGTTTTGTGAAAATAATAACCCAATTAAACATTTCCAAATGACCTAACAAATATTGCCCAATAGAAATGTTTATTATTTTCAAATGGCCTCATAATCAGTGACCCAATAATTAATTGGCCCAACAGACATGTATGTGTCCAAATACCATATAGAAATTCGGCCCAATTAAAAAATTCTAAAAGGTGAACCAATATCCAATTGTATCTCTTTTCGTGCTTTGTTGAGCACAACACAAGTAATTTCTTCGATAGCCAATTTTGGAGAATTAATCGTTAGGCCTTTTGGAACATATTGCAACTAGTTGTTTGTGGCCCATCTGATTCATTCTTAGTTGGGCCATTTGGAAAAGAGATACAATTGGATATTGGTTCACCTTTTAGAATTTTTTAATTGGGCCGAATTTCTATATGGTATTTGGACACATACATGTCTGTTGGGCCAATTAATTATTGGGTCGCTGATTATGAGGCCATTTGAAAATAATAAATATTTCTATTGTACATTAATTGTACATTTTCAGCCCTGTCAGATTGTACATTTAAGCCCTGTCAGATTGTTAGACCTTGTGTTATGCTTTTTCACATGATTGACGCCTAATAGTTCAAGCAGGAGAAATTCAAAGCCTGGTTAATAGTACTTGTTATCATTTTAGCTGTATTTTAATGGAAAGTTGAAAAAATAAAAGATGGGGAAAGTTCATGTTGTAAACAAGGAAAAATATAATTTTATTGGGAGCATGGTAATTAGCTGATAAAATTAACCTCAGGCAGTACTGTATCATAACATATAATTAATTACATAGCTGCGGATAAAATAAACTAAAGCCAGCTGCAAGACAACGGAAATTAACAGCTCTATATATGGCTTGAATCCTGTTGATAGATAATCATAACTCTTCTATTTAATCAACAGCATACTTCACAGAGCCAGCAGCAACACAATCCAAAGAGGCTGCACAGATGAGTAGTGTTAGTCGAAATGAAAATGAACCAATATGTGAAATTTTGTCGTAAAGGCTGATTAAAGAAGCTTACCATCCCTCAAGGAATCCCCTCTCTCCTTTTGGCTTTGATGATGACCAAAACTTCATCTTCTTCTTTTTCTTCTCTGTTGGAGGATCCTCAGTTGGGTAACCTGCGAGTAAAAACTCTTTTAGAAGTCCTGTAAATAAGTTGATAGTTGTTCGTTTGGAAGAGGTGGGCTTGTGCTTGTTTTAACCAAACACTGCCATTTGTTCTCTCCTTGTCATTGTTTATGGCTTCCATGAAAACTTCTCCATGTTTGTGCTTTAGAAGAAGTTGTGTGTTCGTGTATAAGAGAGAGAGAGAGAGGGAGAGGGAGAGGGAGAGACCTGGAGGAGGTTGGTTTACTTGGTTTTGCATTTTGGATGATCAGCAGCTCAAAGTTGAAGCAGGCTCTAAAGGATACAAGAAAAAGTAACACAGTGAATTAAGAATGTCTTTTCACGGGTTTATGCAGATGAAAACTTGTATATATTTTATTGTGAACGGAATCTGCCTGTCAATAAGAGAACAAAATTGGTGGAGTTGGTACTGATTATAGTCAATTCTTATTGTTTAAATCACAATAATCTGACATAATTGATTATCTTTTGAAACAATTACTTGCATGTTAAGATTAGGATTATGATGTAATAATTTATTATTTTAGATAATGATTAAGGATATTTTGAGAAATTGCTAGTATCTATCTTCCACGTTCTTGGTATGGATAGGATAGGTACCCCTAAAATTGAAAAGCTTATGCTGCTAAACTAACAAAATATAAGAATAATAAAGAATAGAAAACACGTTTTTAACCTATTATTATTATTATTATTATTATTATTATTATTATTATTATTATTATTATTATTAT